TATCAATGGCGCGCATTTTCCATATAGGCGTCTAGAACTTGAGACGCATATTGGTACTACACATTAAAAGCAGAAGTGTCTTAACACTTGGAACAAAAAACCTTGTATGGTGATATAAGTTTAAACCATATGGGCAGTATTAATATAAATTCCATTTGTTTTTAACTTAATTGAGTTGTATTCGCTCTTATGCGATTTACAATTTGTTTTTGACACAACGAACTTTTTTTGGTTTGTAACTGAAAATAATTATCAAGAACTCTGAAAATAAAAAATTATTTTTAAAAACTATAAAAGATTTTTATTTAAAAACAAGTTTTTTTATAATTGTGTTTTCAGAATTTATTTTGAACAGAGTTTGGCTAAAAAATTGAGTGCCTCTGGATTTTTTTATTTAGTAAATAATCTAAACAACATCTTGGTAGAAAGGGTAGAATGAAAGTTCAACATCATAAAAGGGTGACTTTTCTTCATGGACTGTATTATTAGCACGCCAGCTATCGCGGAAGTTTCAATTCTCAGTTTTATTCTGATTTGGTAGTATTGTTGATGCTTACTTAATGTTAATTGAATCATCTTTGACTTGTTCACGCACAGCATAAAACTATTTAACTGATCAACGACTACGTCAACAGTAACAGCTAAATGTCTCTGTCTGATATATTCAAAGTAAAAGTATGAGTGGAAACCTTTGATATATCAGAGGCGCGCATTTTTCATGCAGGTGTCTAGAAACACACATATTGGTACTAGGATGTTACCTTCTATAATGTTTCCGATTATTTTTCTAATATTTATTTTTAAAATTTTTGAGAGTATTTTTATTTTTTTTTTCGTTTTACGTGCCGAACACCGTGGGGTGTGCCGGATTTCCCGAGAGTTGGTTAGGAGTATTTCCTTGAGTTCAGGACCCTTGAAAATGTACTGGTTTTTATTTTGACATTTTTCTGTTTTTTGGACCGAAAAATCTCGAGTGAGACCCACCATTGGATTTGTTGTGTGCTGGAATTATGTCATGGATCCATTACATAAAATGTATTATTATTTTATGTATAATATTATTTGGTTGTGTGTTTAATTATATAGTTGTTATATATATATATATATATATAAAAGTCAAAAAGGCCATATTTATTTTCTGATGGGCCCCACTTGAACTTTAGTTATCTCAATGACCATTTGGTCATTCACAGCCAGACCACTTTCTTCTCTCACGCCGCAGCTTCGTCTTTTCCTCTCTATTTAGTTTTCTTTTCCTTTTTACAACTACAAGCATTGATCTAAGCTTTGCTCTTTGGGAAATTGAGTACATCCTTAAGCAAAGTCGGAGTGCTTGTCGGGACTATCGTTTTGATAAGAGCCAAGCACCATTTGGCCAAGTTTTGGGATTTCAAAATTAGTGTTTGAATTTGGAGATTTTAGAATTTTTCTACAATTAAGAGGTACGACTTTTTAATTCACATTTTTCTTAGATTTTTGTGAATTATTCTTCATGAATTATTGTATAGTATGCTTAATTCGTGTAGATCCTTACAAAAATAATTTATTTGTTGTATATGTGATATGTGATTATGTGTTGGTTGTCATTTTGTGAAAAAACATGTCTTAAATGATTATATTCCATGCCTTATGTATTTGAGTTGCACGAAATATAGTAAGAAGCATGATATGTGTATTATATAATTTTTCTCCCAATTGTGTTTATGATTAAGAATTCAAATGTACAAAGAATTATGATGTTTAAGAGGCATAGTCCATTTATGCATTTTCATTGAGCATGGAATGGGGGAAAAGTTGTTTTAAAAGGCAATGGAATTGTTTTGGGAAAACGTTTTTGGAAAGTGTTTGTGAAAACAGGACGTCTAGGAGGCGTCTAATGGTCCGTGGTATTAATATGACTTAGAAGGAAATAGAAAGAGACTCTAGTGTGGTTGAGCTACCTAGGCCCAAACGACTCCATGAAGATGCCATATGGTCGGGGAAAGTTAGCCAACCCTTCCCTCGTGACGCCATAAAGGTGCTATGGGTCGGTTTGCATTAACGGTTTGGAAAGGTGAAAAGGAATTGTTTTGAAAAATAGGGAGCGACATTGGCATGACATTACACTTCATTTGCATATTTTGTGTATTTGTGTTACAATGATTGATGAAGATTAGTCGGCAATGATCCAAAACGATAACATTTTTCCTTGACACCGGTGTGGTGCCTGCCAAACAAGCTCCAATGGCTAAGTCAATTTCCAGAATAAAATAAACAATTCATGAATTGGAGTTCAATATTGCCGAATTCTAGGTTGCGGATAGTCGGGATCGTGTTATAAATTCTCATCACTTTCTAATATGTAAATGTTATGAGCAAAAAAGAAAAATTATTTCTTTATGTTAGTTTCTAAAGAAAAATTATTTCTTTATGTTAGTTTCATGACCAAGTTGCTTTACCTTACTAAATAGCTCCCTAATAAATAATGATTAACAAATGAATTTATTCAAAGCAACAACACAAAACTAACTCAGTAGTTGAGTTCATGACAACTAAATTCTTAAAATAGAGACACAGCCACCATTAATGTGGCCAAACATCTGCCTTTCCTAGTGTGAACCCATTTGCAGTAGACCCCTTTTGTTCTCAAAGGAGTTATAACTTATGACCACTGATATTTGGGTGAGAGATGAGTGATGAAGGGGCAGAGCAAATCAAGGTCAAAAATCGAGCCTAGCCCTCGCTGCATCAGTTCGGTTTCGGTGGCGCCCGGATGAAAGAGGAAGGTGAGTTCTAATCCAATTGCAAGTGAATTGGTTATGCTAGAAATAATAATAAAAAATTAAAATAAGTGATCTACTGCAAATTGCAAGCAGTGGTCGCCCTCTTTGGTGAGTGGGTGTGTTTCGGCTTCAACCTCTTTCTATAGATATATATATATATATAATTGGAACTATAAAGGGAAAAAAATAAAAAATAAAAAAACTCCTCTAAACAAGAATGTGATTATGTAGAATTTCTGCTCAGTGGTGCTTAATCCAATTCTAGAACAATTACGAAAAGTATAGTTTAGAGGTATTTTTGCACAATGTCAAAAGATTAGAGGTATTTATTGCACACTTTTTCAAATAGGGTGTAAAAATGCTACGAAAAGTATAGTTTAGAGGTGTTTTCTGCACTTATCCCCTACATAAGTATAGTATTATATGTTTTCATATATCAAATATTGGATCAAAATAAGTACCAGATTCATTCAATTACCAAGAATTCAATTTTCACTACCCCTTAAAAAAAAATTAAAAGGACAACTATAATGAGACTCCATTAAAATATTCTTTCAGTTGTATGAAATAAGTATCTTGAAATTGAAAAAAAAAAATAGTTTAAACTTTGAACTAAGTCTCTCCATTTTGAACTAAGGCTCTCCATTTCCCAATCAACATTATTGTCCCTCTTATTTGATTCCCCCATGCGTTTTGAAAAATGTAACTTTGTTGCAAAAGATATCTAGACTAATTTTTCATAATTTTCGAATGTCAAAGATTATGGTTGGCTGTATGGAATTGACATAGTTTTGAAATTAGAATTAGTGGAATTAAAGAAAATTTTAATTAAATTTTATAAAACTTTGAACTAAACTTTTCACCGATTCCACCAATTTCATACAGAAACATAGCCTAATTTATTTTAATTACAATACAATTCCTTTCTCAATTCCTTCATTTTAATTACATTTCACTTTTTTAAAGAATTTTATTTCAAACAAAGGTCATTGTTTTTGTTGTTGCATAAAAATGGGTCATCATAGATGGCTTCCCCCGAATTGGAGGATAGCATGGGCCACATGGTACCAAATGGTCAAAATCAAGCATTGGGCTTTCCATTTAGTCATTCTACCCACATACATTATATATTCCAAGTACAATTCTACGTAACACACACCCACACACCCACACCCACACCCACACCCACACACGCACTGTCTACCATAATTCATTTTTAAATAGTTTTTTACTTTGATAATTGTGGCTCACAAGAGTCACATATATTAAGGTGAATAATTATTTTAAAATCAAAGTGGTATCATAATTCATCACCAAATATATACTATTCCTTTTTTTTATTTATTTAAAATGTATCTTTTAAGAAACTCTGTCTCACACAATTTTTTAAAAGAAATACTTATTTTGAGATAGAGGAGTATCATCTTCCTGTCCCATGCACACCCACCAAAGAGTGGCGTCAAGGGGAGATTCTAAACATAATCACCATCTAAAGATGATTCTAAACATAAATGCCAATACACATGTTATGTGATGTGTCATGTAGACTGTATGGGCCTTTAGAGTACATACAACGGCTGCAATGACCAGCCAGACTAAGACAATTTATCACTAACCCCGACCATCACAATTTTTAAAACTTCTGTTGTTGTCGTGTAAAATAGTTTTAAAGTTGAGAAAATATTACATGATCCGGTTTCACCAATCATGTGTTAATTGTGTCTCACTTTTTATTTATGTGTCAAACACGTGATTGATCAGATCATGTAATAGTTCCTCATTTAAGTAGTCTAACTCATACTTTTATGAAAGCTCAAACACTCAATCTTCTCTTTATGCATGAAAACCTATACCAACTAAACTATTGCCCATTTAGTATTAGTAGCCTAATGTTGTTATCAAACAGCCATCCAGTTGTTAAATAATTTTTTTAAAAATTAAATCCTTCTTTGTTTGGTTATCAATTTAATGCATAGCAAAATAGAGTAAATTAATAAATTTCACACACCCACTTTAACCCGATCTTGAACTTGAACTCCGGACTTTCTATTTTGAAAGCGAGTAAATATTACTAAATTATAGTACATGCCACAGCATAACAAAGACAACTAACAAAATCCATAAATGTTTGGCGTACTTGAAGGTAAATTATAAATATAACACATCACTGTTATTATATTTCATTACATACATTGTGTCCATAGCGAAGACTTGATAAAGAAAATTAATATTCAAAATTCACACATTGTAATGCTCAAGTTGGACATCCTTGGCTTTAAGAGGAACATATTCCCCAAGATAAACCTCCAAATGGTCGGCTAAGGAGGACTTGTCGATGTTCTCATGGTGATAGGACTTGCAGACAAAGTAGATCACTGTTTGGATGACAAGCCCAAAGAGAATCAACACCGCTAGCAAAAGGAAGCAAACAATCCCAATTCCTAATCTCATCACAAACTTATACCCGTACCCAATCACAACAAACCATTCGAACCCCAACTGTATCACCAAAAAACACGCACTGAGCAAAAGGAAGGTCGCTACTGAAATTACCATCTTACCCTTGATCAGACCTTTGCTCTTGATCATTGCTTGAATCCCATAAACATCCTCCAAAACTGTGACCACGCTCGCCAAATGCCAAACAACGCTTATGTAGACAAAACCCACGAAGTAGAAGATCAAGAAAACGACCAGAATTGCGACTCCAACGCCGGTATCAAGTCCAATTAAGACCGCCCATAATATCAACACAAATAGTGCAACAAGGTTGTAAGCGAAAACTATGATGAAGTTCCATATGAAAGTGACCATCAGTCTCTTCCAAACCTTCGGAACCACACTCATCACCTTCTTGAAAGTTATTTCCTTCGCGGTGAAGACACACGCGATGGTGTAAACCACCGCGGAGGTGGAGAGGAGGGAGAGGATGAGGAAGAAGATGAAGTAGGAGATTTTGAAGAGCCAAAAGGCCATCCACTCGGAGTGGATGGTATCGGAGACTTTGGCATATTTAGAGGTACCCTCCACCGTTTCGTATTTCAAATAATCTTCGTTGCGGATGATTTTGGCAAAGAGTAGTATGGAGATTTCGATATGAGCTAAGAAGATGATGGAAAGAGGGAGGATGATAGTGAGAGTGATTTGGCTCAAGATTTTTCTCCATGAGGAGATGATGTTGAAGGACTCTTTGAAGATGCCAAAGAAGCCAAGAAACTGAATCTCCTCTTGTTCTCTGTCCATGAAGCTTTCAGTTTCCTTCCTGAGAGAGAATGGAAATGGTGATAAGATGAGGCTGAGAAGAAGATGTTACATATAGGGATAAAGGTTGTGGACCATAGAGAAGAGAGTTGACTTTGAATTGTCAAAGTCCTGGTTCCTTTGTGTCATTTGTTGAAGAAATAAGGGTTAAGTGCATTAAACCCCTAAACTATGATCTAATTGCAAAAAACCTCCCTAAATTAAAAGTAACTTTCTGAACTATAAAAATGTTGCATTCCAGTACAATCCGTCAACCAGCCGTTAATAAAAAAATAAAATTACCTTTAAGCCCTTTAGTGTAACGACGACGGTTTTGTGTTAATGGGAATTAATATGTTGACGTGGCAAGAAAATTTCCAATAGCCAATAGAAAAACGACAGCACACATACTTACCTTATCCTTACACAAAATCTGGCACCAAAGTGACCAAACCAACCCTTATATCAATTCATGGCACGAAACAATTCTTCCCCATCTCTCTCTCACACAGATGGCGTCCAAGGGGTGGAAAACGATTCTCTCAGTCAGACATAACAACAGCGACAGCAAAGGGATCCTATCTAGGGTTTTAAGTGCTATCTTACAGTCCTCAATCGAGTACCGAGGCAAGCAAACAAACGTCGAACGCTGCCTACGCAACGATGCGCCTGATGAAGAGCATAGAAAAGGGCGCCTGGATCGCCGATTCGCCGGCACGACGTTCCTCATCGTCGTCTTGCGCTTATCGTCGAGATGGATCGCGGTCTGCAGCTTAATGAGCTTGAGTTACAGCAGGCGAGTTTACTCGGTACCCTACTTGCCTAGTACGAATTGCCCTCTTTGCTTCATGAGGTGCTCCGGCTCCTTTGGTATGGACATGGTCATGGTCCGCATCTGTTCTCTTCCTTCACAGATGCAATTTCAAATTACACACTCTTCTCCCAAAAAAAGAAACTCTTTGTCCTCGCTCACTTGTCTATATGATTTTTTTTTTCCCTTTCTGTGAGGCTATCACTTTGGGGATTACATAATTAGTAATCCATTGTCATAGATAAAACAAGCGTAAATGAGAATTGAGAAGCAAGATAACAAATGAACTGATGCCCAGTCAAATAAATAAGATAATTGATTCCCATGAACAAATTGTGGAAGATGGATTGAGGACAAATAATGAATGATTAATATGCCAATTTCCAAGTGAGCATTTACGGATTTATATATATATATATATATATCTCCTAAACACACAGATAGAGATATATAGACAAAGAGAACACAAGTTGAATAATTCTTAAGATTTGTTGAACATAAATTGTGACTTAAAGATTTGTTGTTCAACATAAATTGGAGATTTTCACGTAGATAGATATATAGTGTATATGTATATATATAATAATGGGTTTAACTTCAAGGGTAGTTTAGCCTTTTTCAAATTGGGCAAGCTCATGTGTGTCACGTGCCTTAAGGTAGCGTTAAATCTCAGACGGCAATCTAACGGCTTGCAACAATTGGAATAGTTTAGGGGGTTAAGTGTCTCTCTGATAAATGATAGAGGTTTTTTGAGAGAGAGAAAAAAGTTCAGGAGAGATTTAATGCAATTAACCCAAGAAATAATGTTGAAAAATTGGAATATATAAATGATAATTTTTTTCAGTGATAGAGTTGTCGGCTGTTTAATTTTTGGGCTTGCACATGGGTTTAGACCTGATGCTTCATGATTCTTGAAATCCAAATAATTTATTTCTTTAACTAATTCTTTAAAAATGTATTTAATTAATAACTGCATGTACAAATTGTACAATGTAATGATGGAAAAAAAAAAAAAAAATGATTTAGCAGTGATAACCAATTATATATCTAGTGGTTTCGGTGTTTCATATTAAAATTATTTTCTTAAATGGTGAGGGAGGAGAGCGTAGTAATTTTCATAAGAGTCAACGTTTTCAAAACGGCAAGGCAGGAAGGTTCAAGTTTGTGGCCCCTTGTAAGTCTTGGGATTGATTTGGTCAATATGCTCTTAATTGAAAACCGCGTATGATCTTTTAAAATATTTTGATCTTTTTTCTAAAATTATTTTAATACGACATATTTAATTATGTGACATATAGTATTTGAACTGTAGTCTTAAGAAATAATTCATAAGAATAACCACAACAATAATACCATGATATATCAATATCTTACCGTTTTATTATTATTTTTGCCTTTTTTATATTTTGAAATTATATTATATCCATTTCACATTCAAACTTCTAATCTAATCAATTCAAGAAAGCGAAACAAAAACAAAACAAATATCAATGCAACCGAATCATCAAGTAAATAGTAAACGGGAACCAAAAAGTTATTATCTCTCTAGTGCTACTGTTCACGTCCCTCTCTGTGCATCGGAGTTCTGTGTCTCCTCTCTTCGTAGAGGTGCCTCTGTTCATTGGAGTTTGAGTTTGGTGATTCTATGGGATGGATTCCCTTCTCAATTCAGGCAAAAGTTCATGTGGATGGTCAGTTCCCTCTGTTTGGTCCTATGGGTTGTTGGATCTAGTGTATTGAACGGTGGATGGTTTATTGATCCAGGTATTGGGTTGGTTGTATTGACTTCTATTTTTGCTCTAACTTTTTTTTGCCAATTACTTGTAAGCGCCGAATTTTCTTACGTGGCCATGGTTTCTGGGTTAGGGTTGGTTGTTGTAAGGGATTATCTGTCGGCGAGTGCGTTTTTTGGGAAGGGATTTTTCGTTTCTTGTGGTGCGTTGGTTTTTTGGTCATGCGTGCCGGTATTTCTCTCACGTTTAGGGTTGTTGCGCGTTGGTTGTATTCTTGCAGCAGGTTTGCTGCTCTTTCCTATTGTTCTGATCAGTGTTGCCTCACCTCTGGCAGCCATTGACTATGGGTTGTGGCTAGTTGTCGCCGGAAAGATCTGTGAGGCTGGAAATCATTCGGTGCATAGGTTTTTTTGCTGCTTTCTATTCTCGGTGGTGTTGTGTTCTTACCGATGACGCTCGCAAGGATGGTGGTTCGCGGGCGATTGGTCAGTTCCCTCTGTTTGGTCGTCGTGCAGCCCAAGGTCCCCCTCGTTTCTCACGTTGTACAATGTAGATCTGAGACATGTTTATCACCCACGAACCAACAACGTAAATTTATAATCATCAATATCCAAATGCACATGTCATACAAAGTAAGTTCATCTCCCTCTTTTAAAGTTGCAAATCCAATTTTCTTCCCCTCATTTATTAACACTCAAATAGAGAAAAAAAAGGTTCAGAACTCGAGATTTCATTTCACCAGGGAGTATATTTATGCCTACAATCACAACACAACAGATGCATAGAACCCCCACCCACCCCAAACTAGTTTTCGACAAATTTCTCAATTCCTGCAATAAGGTGGCGACGATAGGGAAGTAGTTCCATACTTTTGTACGTGTTCTACATGAAGTCCTTTTCCATTTCTTGCAAGGACTTGTTGGCTGATGCGATCTCTTTGTTAGATGTCATCTTATCAGCAACCATCAAATTCTTGTAGCTTCTTACCTCCGCCTGCCTCTCTTTTTCAAGCCTCTCCATATCCTCCTTTCGTTTCTGCATAAACATCAACAAACAAGGAATTAAAACTGAAACTTGGTTCAAGTCATCCCAGGGTTACCAGCAACTGTAACTGATCTTAATACACAAAATAAAACGAAATTAATTCAGCTATAAGAAAGCAAAGGTCAAATACTAAGCCAAAACTCCTAGTCACAAATACTTCACATTTCTAAATCCATGTTCTTTTTTTTCGCCAAAACTCTTAGCAAAACCCTAGTCACAAATAGACATATCTAAATCCATGGACATTTTTTTTTTTTTGATGATCATAGAATTTTTGTTTTTTGATAAGTATGCATGTTTATTGCAATCCAATTTCCCATTCTTGCAATATGTCAAGAGTTCCACTTGCAGCAGCGAGGAGAAGCTATATGGTTCAGGTTGAGACGTACTGATGCTCGGGATAAGGGAATACCAAGATTAACATGAATTTATAGTAAGAACAGATATGAAATCAAGTAATAGCCGGAATTATGGTTTTAGATAGATGAGAATAATGAAAAATGATACATGTTACCAAGTCCAAAAGTTGAGACAAGGTTTTGTTGAATTCATTTCGGTACACGGAACAAAAAGTGGGAACACCAACATGGTACACCAAATATTTAAAAAGTATAATATGGTGGATTATATGGATCAAATAGATTCATTTAAATATTTCTATATGCCAGAGATTTTTTTTTTTTTTTCCATAAAAAATGATATGTAACGTTATTATAATAATATAACCTAATCTCAGAGGATAATCTCAAGGGGTGTTTGTATAATTTACCTTGATTTTATACATGAAATTATTTTGACTGAATTATTGGTGGCTACTTTTTTCCATATAGTTAGTGGGTGTGCATGACCTCTTCTTTTCTGGAGAGGATCCTTATCCATTCAATTAAATGTCACAAGATTGAATTTCAAAATATTGAATAACAATGGACAATGGTTGTATTCTAATAACCCTATACAAAAATAATCAAAGGGAAAAAGATTGTCAAGCACGCGTATGTTGTGACATAATTAATCAACTTTATATAAAATTCTCATTTTACAAAAGGTTGTGGTGAGAGTAATACTTCTTTATTCTGTCCACTGCCGGGGCTTTTAAGGAGAAAATTTGACATTCGTGAAGAACGGGGAGTTGTAAGAACTTCTAATGGCTTTATTATGAAATTGAGGTTTGATGTACTAATCCATATGCTTTTGTTTTTAAGTGTTTAGTTCTATATGGCACATCGATCATTGTTTGAAGCACCACATTGGTCCTGATCTTAAAATAAAAATTTATCATAAAATAAAAAGAAAAAAGTACTATAAAATTTTTTTAGATTTTATTAAATTTTTTTTTATCTGATTTTAATATGGATCTGAAAAAATCATATAATTTTTGAGAGTGAACCGGATTACAGTACTTTTTTCTTTTTATTTTATGATAAATTTTTTTGACCTTTTTAATCCTCTTAAAAGCAGACACCCAATTCTTTCATTCATTAGATAGACAAAATCACTGTAACATATTCAGAGGGTGAGTGTGGTTATAAGAAATTATTAGATGGTTCTGATCTATTTGACATTTGGTGGACTAATTAAATGAAAACCCTCCGATCATAAAACTTTGTAATTTATTAATACACTCTTATAAGACCATTTTCTCAATCAGAGAATCTGTATTTAACTGATCCATCAAGTGTTAATGGACCCGGACCATCTAATAATGTTATTGTATTGAAGACTTAAATCATATAAATCATATAACAAACCACTTCCCAAACTCTCTCCATAAGTTAGAGATGCAGTTGAAAAGAAAAAAAATCATTTCAGCTACTAAAATTACAGTAATCCAGCCAACCTGTTTCTCAACCCAATGGTTACAAGAATCCCCATTCATTAGATAAAAGGAATAGTAACAAAAACCGACAATTTCTTGCCACTTTTAATAGAAGAAAGTACATCAACGGGATGGAAAGAAAACCACAAGAAAATGACAATATAAATGTTAAACAACCAATCCATATTTTCTAGGAACCCAACAATCAAAATTTTCAAACTAAACATAAACTACACCTTAACTTTTTTTCTCCAAAAACAAAATCCTTACAAAATCCCTTTTCCAAGTTCAAAGAAAATTTTCAAACTAAACATAAACTACACCTTAACTTTTTTTCTCCAAAAACAAAATCCTTACAAAATCCCTTTTCCAAGTTCAAAGATAATCTCATTCAGGAATAGAGTTGGAGGTCAAGGTCCTATACCCATTCGTTTTGAGCAGCAGCAGCGGGAACAGTATTCATTCAGGGACCCGGAATTGTTTCGTGGAGGTGCAGCTGTAGAATCCGAACCATTAGCCATTAGCTGGACCGCGTCGGCCAACAGAAAATCACCTTCAGCAATTTCGCTAGGCCAGTGGCTTGCAGGTGCACTGTAATCTCTGTAATCACCTTGCACAGAATCACATTCAGTAGAATCATATTCAAAAAACTCCGTAATCACCTTCAGCAAAATCACATGCATTGGCACTCGGGACCACGTCAGAGACCCACTGGCCTTCACAAATTTGGCTAGGCCACAGATCACCTGCACTAGGAATTCCTGGAGCAGTGTAATCTCCTGCTGCAGGTGCTTACTCTTCAGCTTGCTCCTTTGATTCCTCGGGCTCCCTGTAGGAAAATAAATCAACCTGCAGGGGAAAGGCAAATGTGAGCCGATACAAATACAAAGTTCAAAATATTATTAAGCACATACCTCAATTGAATTATTACAATAAAATTCAAAGTTTGACAACTTGGAATGAATTGTATTAACCAAACAAACTTCGTATCAGAATTCATATCTTTCTTTTATAAGAAAAGAAAAATCAAATGTTGCAACCATTTCATATTGAAAATAAAAAATAGAAAATAAAAAAAATATGAACAAAATACAACCTTCTTCCTGATAATGTTTACCATGACGTCCCACTCGTGCCCCTGAGGGATTGTGTTGCGCATCTGCGAAAACCATCCTCGCCAAGAGCCAGAATAGACAGCCAATGCTATGTTTTCCCTTGTTATTTGCAGGGATATCAATATCAACATATCGCATTGAGGAATCAGTGTCACAGAAAGCGATAGTTGGAATGTTTCCAAGTGCAGCTTCCTTGATAGGCTGCAAAACCGTTTACAATGACAAGTCAAGTCATGATCAAACAATAAAAAGTATTCATTTCAAGAACGGACACACACAGTTATTAACAACCATAAGAAAAATAAACAGTTGATAACTTCAGAATATATATTTGTTGATTAGCCTATTAATAAGTGCAGTTTGTAGCAAATGCATTAACGAAATAAATAACAATAATGCATCAGATGATTCACGTACTTGAGAGTAAACAATTGAAAGAAGTATTAACTTGGCGATCAATCCTTGGATCAGTGAGGATGAGGAGGCGAGGCTTTCTGAATGAAGTTTGAAGCTGATTAGTGAAATGTTCCGGGAGTATGTCGCCCAGCATGTACTGCACAAACTTCAAAACCGCTATCTGACCATATGGCCTAGTAGATTGAACAATGATGTCCTGCGGGTTTTCAATCGCAACAATAAACCTGGCTGCCATCTGAAGCTTCTCCCATGTTCTTCCAAGATTTATAATGTATATCCCTGAGCATTGAAATATTAATAATAATATTTGGAAAGAATAAAGAATGATGAAGAAGAAGAAAACAACAGTGGAATAAAATAATCTCATCATCAACAATGTTATATAAAGCGTCTACTATATGAATTATCTTTTTTCCATTCAGTTTTATTATATTTTTAGTTCTTACACACATATAAACATGGTTATTAATTAATCCACATGTAAAGCAAATAATAATGGCATCTGAGGAACAAGTATACATATTAAAACCTCACAGAGAAACACAACTGTTTCAGATCTCAATCAATAACAAACAAACACATAAATATACAAGCATAATGAGCATAATGTTCCATATAACAGTTTGAGATCTCAATCGAATAAGAAAGAAATTCAGAGAGACATCTACATACATACATACATACATATATATATATATATATATATATATATGCATTTTAATACAAAAACAGATTTGTACATGTATATATTTAGAGAGAGAAATAAAGAGGAAATTGGACCATCCGTACGGCGGCGCTTGAAGACGTAACGCTCCATCTGAAAATCGCAGTTTTTGGTGCCGAGTTGGACTTCGGCGGCCAACATCATTTGTATATCTGCCTGGGGTGGCAGCTGTTGCTATTGCTCTCTCTCTCTCACTGTACCGACCAAAAAATTTATTTAAAGAATTTAATTCAAATTACAAATTACCTAATAAAATAAAATTCAAATCCTAGCAAAATAACAATCCCTGTTGCCACATAATTTGCAATCCCAACCTCTATTGTTCACACTCCTAGATGCGGATTTAAATCATCACACAAACACTAAGATTTGAACATATATATATATATATATATATATATATATATATATATATATATATATACTTCTGTTGCCATATAAAGTGCAAACCTAATCCCTGTTAATCGAACTCTTAGATGTTGATTCAATAAAGACACAACCACTAAGTTTTGAACATATATACATATATACTTAAGTTTTATTTATTTATTTTTTATTTCTCTGATATAATCCGTTTTCAACATAAAAACAATTACTTTAATCTGCAATTAACTCCCTAAAGCCATTCTACAGATGGATCGAACACGAAATCAACGAGAATGGGTAGAAGGAAGACTTGCCTTTTATGACTTTCGGATTGAAAACTCTTTTCTTCTCCGATTTTCCCCTTGACGCCGGCGGCTTTCGGGTCGTCGTCTACCTCTTCTGCTCCGAAAATCACCCACAACAGCCTCCTCTTAAGCCTTTTGGTCCGGCCTCACCACTCTCCTCCTTCTTCTCTGTTTTTTTTTCTCTCTTCCTCTTTCTCTCTTTCTTTCCGACTCTTTCTTCCTCTTTCTTTCTTTTTGTTCTTTCTTTTTTTTCACGCCGCCGACTCTATATAATTCTTCACTGTTTCGTTGCTTTTAAAGACCCCATCTAGCAGAGCGCGCGCGCGCGCGCATATATATATATATATATATATATATATATATATATATATATATATATATATATATATATATATATATTATGAATTATTACATATAAATGGAATTAGGGCTCTATAATTACTAAAAGGCTAAGTCAAAATCCCATAGTTTCTCTAATATGTGTTTGACCCAAAAGCTGAGGTGGCACATGATTTTTACTGTTTAAAAAATATGTTACCTAAAATGCCCTTCCTCTTTTTTTCTGTGTTGCCTAAAATGCCCTTTCTCCATATTTTAATATATTGACCTAATTCGTTCAGTGCAGCCCTCTCTCTCCCCGCCTCTGTAAATACATTTTACCTTTGGCCCTAACCTCATAATTCTCTCATTCCCTGCTCTCTCTCTCTCTTTCTCCACAACTCTTTCTAAGCCAGTCCCTCAACCCTCTCTCTCTCTAGCTTCATCGCTCTAGGATTGAGAAACCCAGCTCAATTTTCAGTGCAACAACAATGGGCTCAGAAGAGGGATCAAGGGTTCTCGGTGAGCTTCAAACCATACATTTCTCAGTGCATTTTCATTGTTTCAGTTGAATTTTTCTTTTTTTTTTCTTTTTTCGGCTGTAATTTTGGATTGAGTTATGATGATTCGGTGTTTCTTAAGCTTTTTTGTTGTAATGGTTCTTGAATTTGTGTTTTATTCCTATTGTAGGCTATTGGGTTTTCTAAAATTAGGGTTTTCTTAGGTGGGCGGGTCATACCCAAATTAGGGTTTTGTGAATTGCGCCAATCTGTCTCACTGTTCTTTTTCTTGGTGGTCCATGTGCTTCGTGAACTTTACTCTACTAATTTGGTAAGTACTCTCTGTCTCTGTCTCACACCCGTTTTGGGTGGATCTCCCCCGATAATTTGTGTTTTAGTTGATTATGTGTTTATGGTTATCTTGTTCTGGAATACATTTTTTTGGTTAGGCAAAATAAATTTTATTTTAAAAGTGAAATTGGTTCTGGTGATCCGAATTGATACTTGGCATTTTTAGTTGATTATGTGTTTATAGTTATCTTGTTCTGGAATACATTTTTTTGGTTAGGCAAAATAAATTTTATTTTAAAAGTGAAATTAGTTCTGGTGATCCAAATTGATACTTGGCATTTTACCATAGTTATATCCACCTAACTGGCTCTGACTTGGTCCTGGAGATAACTCCTTGGGAACAGCCCAATTGACCTCAACCATTTTACCATTGAGTTTATGAAAGGTTTTGAGCAACGCTTTGTCAACTGCATCCTCTGAATCATAAGTGATAAATCCAAACCCTCTAGGTCTCTGAGTGTTGTGGTCATATATCACCACTACATCTGTGATTGTCCCAAATTGATCGAAGTACATCTTAAAGTCAAACTCTATGACTGTGGATGCTAAACCTCTTACAAATATCTTTTTTGTTCGAATAGGGCCTGGGGTGGGGACCCCTGAATGATTCCATTATTTCTGTTCAGAATGTGTTGTTGGAACAACCTTCTTTGCCTCAACCTATTATAGAAAGCCAGGTAATCGAAGAAACAAAACAAAAAAAAAAAAAACAAAACAAAATAATACAATTTCACATTTACAAAAGAAATAAAGTCTTATCCTTTAAGTCACTCTCCCTCTCTCTCTAAAGTTGACGTTTCTGTTACCTCAACTACTTCCATTAACAAGAGTTATATAAGCATGATTCGGCAAATGATCACATGTCCACAGCTGCAAGTAAAATATGATCTTTTGCCACCCTATAAAAACTATATGGTAAAAATTGAGTTACATGGATACTCTTGGCTAAAAAAATTACTAGATTATAATGCAACCATTCTCCCAACCACCGCATACAGTAAAAGTTGAGTTACATGGATAGTCTTAGTCTTAGTCTTAGCTAAAAAATTTACTAGACTAATGCAATCATTCTCCCAACCACCACATTCCAAAGGCTAAATATTTGTGAGAAGATTCATATTACTAGCATTTAGCACTAGCAGCACTTTTCACTCTTTTCTTAACTTTTCTTCTAAGCATTTTACAGAAGAACCTTAAAAATAGCATATAGCACCAATCTTTATCTCTCCATAATTTCTTTTGGGCACTTTCTGATGCATGGATCATCTTTACTAAATCAATCTTTTACCAATGCTCGCACTACCTTGAATGCAATTAAATTGCTGGATAAGTGCTTGGCATTAACAAATCACTATTAAAATCACTGGGCCTTGACTTCTTTCAGGTGGAGAATATTTTCTTTCACTTTATTTTCTAACATTCTTTTATTTCACAAATCAGCTTGTTTACAGCCTACGAAATGGCTGGTCTTATACTTAAAAGAGTCTCCTTACAGTGGGCAGTCTAAGCTTTCACCATGTCACCTGACCCCTTTTTTTCATCAAATTATATATATATATATATATATATATATATATATATATATATATATATATGAAGTAGCAATTTGAATACTAAAGAGTTGAACTATCACAAAAATATACCAGGCCACGTAGAAATTCCCACATGTTGAAGAACCTTCCACTTCTAGAACCTTTTCTCCTTTTGCTGATCGAAATGCAGAAAGGAGAGATGACCCTGATTGGGTCTTCAATTTTCTTATTGCCCTTTAAGAAAGACAAAAAAATTAATATTTAGAAGTTGGATTTGATATGACCTTATTTATAAATTCATAATAAGATAAATTATTTAAGCTTGAAACTTGAACGGAGTCTTAAGAAAACGTTATCAGAATATCTCCCATCAGTTAACTGGACTCATCTACACTCAAGAAAATTAATTAATTAATTTATTTATTATTTTGATGATTCTAACATCACCTCCATCAGCCAACAAGCTACCATTCACCTCAAGGAACCTCACTATCTCCATCTTAATCCATCAAGGTTTATAAGATGTAATTTCCTTGACTTCTGATATAATTTTTGCTGTAGAACAATTTCTTAGTATAACTTAGTTGTTAGTACTATAACCCAATGTACATTCTTTCATAGTTGTATTAATTAGGCAAATTTTTTTTTTTTTGGTCTTACATGATAGTGTTGTCTTTTATATCTGATGTAGTAATAAATTGCATTTTTCAAGAGCTCCAATGGAAATATTCAACCTCTTAAGTAAACTCAAAATTATTATGTAATTGTTCAGAATGTTTTATATAGCAGTACTGTTAAGTTGGATAATGAGGTCACCTGCAAGGTGTTGGGCAAATTATAAATTATTTTTTAATTTTGATGATCCTTTTTAAAATTATTATTATTAAAAGTTTCGAATTGTCTGTTTTTATATTACTTTTGTTCTTTATTATTATTATTCAATGCTTTAATATCTTAATTTTTATTGCATGTGACAGTCACAGAGACAAAGTGGTTCTTTTGTTCCAATTACACACAAAGACAGAAAGAATGCATGTCCATCAAATACACAAACAAGAGGACTCTCACTAGGACCACACAAAGGAAAAGGGCCATAAATTGGTTTACCACTGAACAAGGAAATACATACCTGTATTTGCCCAATTGGGAGCTAGAGGAAGTGGGATAGGAGGATCTTATAATCCAAAAAGTACTTGAAATGATGTGGGATATGGGACATTTGTAATGTTGAACAGTTTCATTTTTTTTGCTGGTATTTTGTAATTTGTTGGTGTTAGATATTTTTTTAAGTTTTAAAGAAGAGTACCTTTATAACTTTTGATTGTGGATTAGATTGGTATGTTTTTGTAACCATTGTATGGCTTATTATACTGGCATCTACCTTAGATGGAATCAAATGAAGTTACTCTTTTGGGTTTTCATGAATTAGTATTGTATGGCTTATTATACTAGGGCTTCACTGAATTTCCTTTGACTATTACATGAATGTACTATAAAAAAAATTTCATTCCAAAATTGAAGCTGTTGAATGAATGAAAAATTGGCCTGTTGTTTCCTTAGTTCCATGG